GAGTTAAGAATGTAGTTGTTAAAAGACTTGTTGAAATTGTTTGCTATGAGGGGCTAAAATGTAGGTTTCTGAATCATAGGAAGTTAAGTTGAACGTTCATCAAACTACAAGAGGCTTTTTGATATTTAATCCTATCATTTATAAAGGACAATTCTGACATTTCACATGCAACTGTTAGTTTAGACGGTTCCTGTTTAAGTTTCAATTTAATTAAAATCATGAGATACTAGAATGTAGGTTTCTGAACGATGGGGAGTTAAGTTGAACATTCAGTAAACCACAACGAATTTTTTAGTATTTAACCCAATATTATTTAATAGATCTAGATCTATGTCTAGACTATAACAATCTAAATCTTATCTAGATCCACAATTTTCTTACACAGTAAATCATATCATTTCTTTTGAAATGTACTTTGAACCAATTATAGTAACTAGTAAATCTATCAATTCTAACAAATATAATATTGGAACTTTTAATGGGATGTCACGTGAATTGAACAAAATTAACCAAAATTATAACTATTTTATATCAGATGACAAATCCACAAACTAATAATTTTGAAATAATTAATCCTAACTTATCCTACCTCATTCCGTTCATGAACATCTAATGTTTATCATCGAATTAATGTATTCGTTCCAATATAGCTTGTTCTTTCCTCCAAAACTTGAATTGCGTAATCAAAAAAGAAAAATTTTCAAATCCTTTGTTTCCAAAAAATAGTTTTTATATTGTCTTTTTTTTTTCAGCATTCAAACATCTAATCTTCATCTTACAAATTGTCCCACAATTAGATAATATTTTACCTTATATAGAGCAGGCACAAGGCATTGATAAACCCAAAAAAAAAAAAAGAAGAAGAAGAAGAAAAAGACTTAAAATATTCTTCTTTATTTATTTTTTTTGGTTCCATGTTTAGGAAACAAACAGGATACAACTCAGAACTCAAAACTCTAAAAAACGCAAAAAGAAAAAAGAAAATCCTAAACAACATCATTTTCTAGTGCACTGCACAAACTATTCCTGAATGCGACTCATCTATGTCTTTCTATGGCTAAAATTCAAACAAATAAAAATAAATAAAGCTGTCAAAGACAAAAAAACAACTGTGTCCATTTTATTTTGTTGCTTTTTTGCCTAAGGAAGAAAAAAAAGTGTGCTCCTTTTTTAAATTGTCCCAATGGCACAAAGGTGAATGAGTGCCCTAGCTTTCACACGCGACAACCACTTATTGCGCTTTGTTTTCGTGTATGTTTTGTGCGTTGCATGCTTCGCTTTGCTTTGGGTGCGTGTGTCTTTGTTTTGGGACCCTTTGAATAACCCTAAATCTATCATTCCATGTCATCTTTCCACAGAATTTCACGCCCCGTGAGGTGTGGGGGTATTAATTGTCCTGCCACAATAGTGAAATTATTTCGTGTCTCGTTTAGGTTTTTTTGTGTGGTGTTCCTGTGTCATGTCAAGAATTGCCATACCTAAATTATCATACAAATTAAAGTTAAAATTAATCTCTTTTACACGGATTATCAACCTATTTCTAGTTTAAGTTTGAATTTCTTTTTTTATTTTTTTTACATGGAGCATATGAAGTTATGAATGATAAAAAAAAAAAAAAATTAGTAGATTTTTTTTTTTAGTAAGAACTAGATTCGTGACTTCAAAAATATTTTAAATGTGTGTATACTTATTTCTCACAACCAAAGTTGGGTATTAGAGATATTAGTTAGGTAACTATGAATTGTTGCTAGTTCAATTTTCAAGTTCTTTTCTGCGTCCTTTCTTATTGGAATGTTTAGAATTTCCCTTGAACTCAAAGAAAATTTAAATGCTTGCATTGATAACCAAAATTTTTTTTTGATAAACAAATTTTACTGCATAACTTGACATGGTGAATTTTAATGTACAAGATTAATTTTTTTTAATGTACAAAATAATTTCTTAGAGGGAAAAGGCAAAACTTGTTTTAGGGGAAGAGGGTTAGATGATGGATAACAAATCTTCCAATTTGATTACCACAATTTATTTATTCATTTCAAAATATTATAAATAAAAAAACTCACACAAAGTTGGAAACTTAGACAGTCACTTTTGGTTAAAGCTATATCTAGTTTTCAACTAGGAGGGATAAGAAATGTTCAACTAGGAGGATCTCAAAAGTTGCCGGCTTTTGAGGTTTCTTCTGGGATTAGATTTATAATTCTAACTTTCGTAAAAAAAAAAGCCATTTCTTAGGAATAGGTCAAGAGGCAAATTCCTGCAAGGGTAGTTATACTGGGTTTCGTGGGGAGTCGTCACTTCTTAGTAGCAGCGGACCTACTGGCTTGCCCTTGTGGGGTTGCCATCCCACATCGGTTCTTGGGGGGGTTTGGGGTTGGGTTTATAAGTCCCTGGGAGGATCTCAAAAGTTGCCGGCTTTTGAGGTTTCTTCTGGGATTAGGTTTATAATTCTAACTTTCGTCAAAAAAAAAAGGATAAGAAATGTATGTTTGATTCCACCACTAATACCAAACCAAGATTTTGATTTGAGTTGTTTCCATCACTAAAAGCGATTGTTGATTTTACAAAATGGGTAACCAAGACAATTACTTTTTGATTTTAGTTCTGGTAATTAGTATTTATGCCATAGTTAGTATTTAGATATAAACACCTTCAGACAAAAAAACTATAGGACATGATGTTATGTACTATTGAGAAACTCTTTGTTTTAGTTTTGTTGGGGGGGGGGGGGTTGGTAAGGCATGACAAATGTCTGTTTCACGGTCCCTTTTGAGTGGAGAATGGTGTCCTACACTCAATTTGAAAAGCATGCAATTGAAATGCAAATCACATGATGAACGGAAATGAAGAAAAAGCATTAGCTCATGCAATGCGTTACCTAAAGAAGCAAATGAGTTTCACTGCAAAATTACAAAGTGGATTGGAATTAGAAGCTACATCAGAATAAAAGCTAGGTATTGGGAGCTGATATTCACTAGAAAGTTGTAGTGATTTCTTGTTCACTTGCCACCAATCTTTATAGGATTTCTGCTTGACTTTCAACACATAAAATTGGATTACAATCTATTTGGAGTGCAATTCTTTTTTGGGGGAAATTTTGTGACTAACATGTTTCCAATCATTTTTTTTTTCTGATTAGAGATTAACAATCACAGTAAATTGATGCATATATTATTTTCTTAGATAGATATCCTTATATTTAGTGACACTGTATACATCAACTCTTGGGTTGCAATGTAAAAAAAAAAAAAGGTTAGATATTAAGGCACTAATAATCATATAAAAAATTGAACTGATTTCTTGATTTTTTTCTCTTTTCTCTCGTAAAGCTTAAAATCTCCATTCAACGGGATCAAAAGAAAAGGCATATTATATTTAAAAAATATCTTTATTACTTTCTAAGTGTGATTTTCAACCATCTTCTTATCTTTTCATTTACTTCTTTATCTAATTAAAGATTAACAATCCAAATCAATTGAATCAAAAAAATCCTAAAAATTTGATCTATATATGTTATTTCCCTAGATGTACACGTCATAGGCTGCAATCAAACCTGACCGTTAAATATGAAGCTAGAGAACCAACACGCAAGAAAACATTAACCAATTAATTAGTCCGTTGAGAGTTAGTGGCCTAGGAAGGCATGGGAACAATAAAGTTTCCAAAGTCCATAAAAAACTATTCACATTGTTAAGAATGATGTATTACGTAGGCATGTAATGTCCAGTTCTATGCAGAGAATTTATGACATACTGATTCCCAAGAAACAATTGCACAACAGCTGGAGAATTAAAGTTTGTAACGTATCATCAGAAGAAGAAAGGCAAAAAAAATCTCACAAAGATATACACAAAAAAAAAAACCGGGAGAAGCCCTACTCCGGCGACTGAAATTGAGGCCGTAAAATTTAGAGGTTTTGAATTCAGATTCTCCTTTCTTCTTTCTGCTTTTTAAATTCTATCCTTTTTCTATATGATCACTTGATTAATATTTTTATCAACTAATTTAGATTTTGAGGACACTCTGATGTTTAATTTGCAAGATAATCTTACCATTTGAATCGTTGTGATTATAATATATGATTTACAAGAGTCTCATTTAATAAATAATTGTGTCAAAATAATGTCAACAACATCTTCATAAAGGTCACATATGAACACATAAAGAAAACAAAAACAAAAAAAGCAAAGGAAAAGATCTGCTACAGTGGTAATACCAAAAGGTGAAAAAAAAAGAAAAATCTGCTGTGCTCCGACATTCTCTGTCAACTGAAGCCAAAGCCACTCACTGCCCTCACCCCATCACTTTCAGAAATTATCCCTGTAAAAGTAAACCCCACATACCATGATGTTTCATTCTGTTACATGACAATTTCCTCAGTCCTGTTTTACTAAGCACCCCAAACAAACACAGAGAGAAAACACCAACCCCTCCCCCCCCCCCCTTCTCTCTCTCCAAAAAAAAAAAAAACTTTATCTTTGTCACTTGGGAATCCTAAATAAGCATAACTACTTTGTAGTGTAACAGATCTTGTGAATACTTTTCAGATTTATTTTGTCAGTAGAGAGGATAAACAACTCACCAATACTGTACAAGGTCCATTGTTGCTTTTTTTTTTTCTCCCTTTTTTTACTTTATCCTTTTAATTGAATCCTCAAACCACCTATGAACATGGAGTAAATTTTTTGTACCAATACAAATTGAGTCAAGATTTCTTGAGGCAATAAGTTTCGATCTCTTTATACATTTAGTACTCTCTCCCTCCCATATTTTTATTAGAAAGTTAAAAACCTCATCTTTAAAATTTACATAGACATACAAGTTTTGTCCTGATATGAATTTACTAAAACTCTCTACACGTAGGGTCTAGAATCAGTAAATGAAACTTTTAGGATTCTTTAAGACTTATTCCTCTTGAAGGTTTACTTGTTCTTTTTCTTTTTTTTCTAATTCCTTTTATGGAGTAGGTCAGAGTTGGTTCTAGACCTATAAAAGGTAGTGCAGTAATATGCTTTCTTCCCTCTTTGCTCAGTCTTTTGGTTCTAGACTTCTAGTTATACTTTGCAAAGAGAAACAGAGAGATGGGGAATTGCCAGGCCATTGATAATGCTTCTCTACTGATACAACACCCAAATGGTAGAGTTGACAAGCTGTATTTGCCTGTCACTGCCAGTGAAATCATGAAGATGAATCCTGGCCATTATGTTGCTCTCCTTCTCACCACAACCATCTGCCCAGCAACTTCTTCCACCACCACCACCGCCAACACCAAAGCCACTAAACATAGCAGCAATACAGACTTCAAAAGCAACAGTCCTGTTCGAATTACACGAATTAAGCTTCTTAGGCCAACTGATTCATTAGTTCTTGGCCATGTTTATAGACTGATAACTACTCAAGGTTGGTTTTCCGTCTTCTTGTTTCCATATTAACAGAAGAATTCTTCTTTAAAGTCCTGTTCAGGATGTTTATGGAGGCTTTTCTGACATGGTTTTTGGATTATAGAGGTTATGAAAGGCTTGTGGGCAAAGAAGTATGCAAAAATGAGGAAGCAGCAGTCAGAGTCATCTGAGAAGCAAGTGAACTTGACAGCAAAAGAAATTTCAGATTTTGAGGCAGCAGTTAGAAAATATGAGATGGAAAGAACCAGCCAGGTAAATTTCTTGATACTTTTAGGACTTCTTGAATTTCCAAAGCAAAGGTTTTCAATTCAATTTCTCATCAGCAATATGTAAGGTAGCGCTAATTTTAATCCACTTAAAACCACTTTTCCATGGGTCTTGAAATTTGAAAGAGTCACCTAAAACAAATTTCTTCCCTGGAAACCTCTTCCATGTGGTCTCCTTTTTCCCCCAACCTATTTTTCCGAAGTAGATAGAATAGTAACCACTAACAAGGTTGCTTCAACAATCACTACTTTCTGAACCTTTCACAATTCATGTTAGTATCAACAAAATACACGTGCATAATTAGGATCATGGGATGATGAAAAAAATGTTTTTTTCTTGTATTTATTTGTTACCTTCTCAGAATTTACTCCATTTTGTGGAACTAAAATTAAGAAACCATAGACTTGAAACTCATATTTTTTTTCAAGATTGATTCTTTCTATGGGTTCAGTTCTTTCCACTAATTCCCAAAATATTATTCCAGACAAAGCACGAAAGGCACAGGACAAAGACATCTCAATCAGCAAGCACTATTGCTGCCAAGTCAAAAGCATGGCAACCTTCATTACAGAGCATCTCTGAGGCTGCAAGCTAATTTTCTCTCTTCTTAAGTTAGCCTAGGATGTCGTCCCTAGGGGTTTTTGTGGAGACTATGACCAGCCAAAGCAAATAGACTGTAATTTCTGAGAGGAGCTGGTGCCAAAAAGCTCCAAAAGGATAAAGCAATTGTTGAAAAAGATGTATAGTACCAGAGAAAGCAGCTCATTATTGCAAGGAATTAATTGATCAGCTGTTTTCTTAATAGAACAGGGCTTTGGTTTCAAGCATAAAGATAGCTTTTCTTTGTTCTTGTTATATACTTCTCAATATTCCTAGCAAATCATTGTCCATCATAGATCAATATTGAGGAAAGAGCAGACTAGGAACTCTAAAAACTGCTTAATGCGCTAGAGTAAGAAGACTGTCTGCCAAGAAGGAAAATTAAGTACAGAAATTTGTTGGAATGAGATTTTAACATAGTAATGAAAGGTATTTAATTCTCCATGTTTTCAAAACCTCGCTTCAAAATGGTTAACCAACATAAGTAAAATTGATGCATCACGTTAAAAGCTAAGAGTAAGAAGCAAGCCAGTATTCGAAATTGAGGGAGGTGTTCTTACTATTAGATCTCAACATACTATATTTTTAGTCCATGTTGTACTAATTGTCAGTTTTCCATCTTTCCTTAAAAAAAAATTCAAGAAAGAGAGAAACCGTACACTCTTTTCCGGACAATGGGCAAATAGTGAACAACTTGAAAGTTGTGTCACAATATTTCTAAATTGACTCCATTTACTAATACAACTACACTAAGTCTGAAAACACCCAATAGAATATTACAGAACCAGCTTATACGCAGACATAGAATGAGTAAACAAATATTCAGATACCCTTTTAAAGTACAATTAGTATAGAAAGATAAGAAGAAGGCATTTTGTTCATTAATTAAATAGATATGGCCATCCATGGAATTATGGAGAGCAACAAATTAATCATAAAAGAAGAATCTGTGCAAGGAAGACACCATCATGGCCAAAGAATTCCTCAAGATTCAAATATACTCAAACTGTAACTACAAAATTCATAATTCAGGCCAGGGAAATCTATGAGCTACATCATTAGTTTACAAGCTAACTTAGGTAAAACTTTAGATGAAAGGATCATAGGACAACTTTGACTTAGTCAAAAAAATCTTCCCAAAGTGCCTAGGAATTAGAAAATGGCCGCATGTAGTTGCTCCAAGATAAACTTAAGCCACAGGTTTACAAAATGAAATGTGTACTAGTCCCACTAAGTTGTATAGTGGATACTCAACATTGTTATTCTTTCCTAGGTGCCAATAAACGATGGAAAAGGATACTTGGCAGCTGAGTCACATAAGAATTTCATGATAGAAAACAATCAATGGGACAACTGAGCAAGGGTTATAATATACCTAGAGTCATCATTCATTGTACATTTTTGACTTTGAGCAATCATAGCAGCCATCTTTGTTGCACTGGAAGAAGAAGAATCATATTTTCTGCCCACGATGCCACAGGATTGTTCTCTTCCTTTTAGAGCCATAGTGCACCAAGATTCAGTAGTAAAGCAGATAGTAACTTTTCCTTTTCCATTCTTCCTCTCTTAGACAGCAAGGTTGAGAATAAAAACAGAGAAATCTTCATGATGAAGCTGCCAAGCATGTGATTAAAATCTAAGACTTTAGAATGGTATATAGAGTACAGCTAAAATTAGAATCTTTTGGGGAAAACTTAGACAAATACTTCATCAAGACCAAGGCTAAATTCATGACCCAATTAGCTTGTTCAACAATTATAAATGAGGAAAAAGAAAATTATAAGAAGAGAATTAAGCCAATTTTATATTTGGTCCATTAAGCAGTTTATGCTATTATACACCATATGGCTGCTAGATGTAGTTATGGAAATAATTTTTTAAGAAGTAGGAAAGTTCTTATAGATGGGAAGAAACATTGGCATAACTGAATCATCAGCCAGGGTTTCCTAAACCTAAAAGAATGAAGAAACTAAAAGTCACAAGGAAAAAAACAAAAGAATAAAGAGTTTATTCTTTAATAAGTGGTATATACAATCCATAGTAAACATTCCTAAGACTATTGGGCATTTACATGAACTAAGTTAAAAGGAAACAGGTTTTATGATGAAATTAGACAGAGGTTTAAGCTGAAACAAGTATTTCTGAAAAAGTCCAAAATCAACAAGTCCCAGAAGCCAATTGGTGAGTTTACAAACTGCAAAAATCAGCAACAGCCAAATTAGTGTTTCTACAAGAGGTATCCATTGTGTTCTATTCTGTGCAGTTAGCGGACCATACAATCTGAAAATTTAACTAGAAAACCATAACCATATACTGAAGTGGTATTCATATGATTAAATTAGATTTCAAGCAGTCAGCACATAGTTTACTTTAGAGACATTAGGCTGCGCACAGTTCTTTGGGCTGCAAGCCCAACAGTATGCATATCTCAGCAACAAGAGCAAAGCAGATGTATGCTAATTCTTTAACCATATTTCTTAATTTGTAGGAAAAAACAGATTTTACATTTATGCATTTCTCATGAAACAAGACAAACATAAAGATGTGCTCTGGATGATGTCAATGCTCTGGACGGTGTCAACTAATAGGGAAATTATTAGACAGGCATTTCACCACATATACATGTTGAAAAGATCTTAACTAGTAAAAAAAAAATCATAAATGATCTGCCCTTTATATCTACAGAAATAAGAATTAGCTTCAGCTAAAGTTTCTCCCCGAAAGCAATATAAGTATAGCATTTGCAAGAACTACAGACATGAAATAAATATCACAGACATCAAACTCAGTAGCTAATATTTCAACTGCAAAGCTTAACAAGACTCTGAGCAACGAATCTAAATTCAGATTTTTTCCTGTATAGTTGTTGAAATTGAATGGCAGACTGAAAAGAACACAAAATGAATAAAAAAGCAGCAGATCTGTTACTCTCCTGAAATAGTATCCTCTTGTTGGATGTTTTTTAAGTGAGGATGAAGCTTGGGCCTCAGCCTATAGACAGCTGTATAACTTCTGCGGGTTGCTGAGTTAACCTCTTAATTCTGTTATAAAGCTAAGTGGATTTTCATGGATGAACTATAAAGTCCAAACCACCTCAGAGATTTAAGAACAATTGCAACGGAGGATGATCCCAACCAAAGCTTTGTTTGGCTATAATCTCTAACGGTAAAGGTTAAACAAAATGACAACTACCAGTAGTCCTTGCAAGAACAGATTCCTTCTCTGAAATGGTGGAAACGAGATCGATCTCTTACAATAATCTCTCTCCCATAAGCTTTGGAGATCGCCTTCAGAGCAGAATGACAATCCTCACAAGTTCTTAAATTCTTTACTATACGAATACTAGTTCCAGGCACAGTTGTCATCAATCCAAAAGCAACAGCTAGCTTCTCACTGTGCCAAGCCACTGCTTGCACTTTCTCTTCCTCGCTTAAATCAAATGAAACCTGAGTGGTATTAGCAACATACCCGACAAGGCTAGCTCTTTCTAGAATCTCATGCAACTTCTCCCGAATCTCTGCAATTTGTATGTGCAACTTATCAGCAACTCGAAACTCATGTACAACACCATTCACCTCAATCCAACTATGCCCAATGTCCAATTGATTCTCTCTATGTCCAATTAACTTCCTTATTTGAGTAACTCTTTCCCATCTACCTAGAGAAGCATACAAGTTAGAAAGTAGCACCTCACCTCTGCTTTGACCATAAGCGTCGTGTTCCTTGATATGAGTTATTATGCGTTCTCCAAGATCTACATCACGATGAACTCTACAAGCACTAAGCAATGCCCTCCATATGACAATATCAGGGTTCACATGCATACTTTTGGCAACATGAAAAGCCTTCTCCAAGTAGCCAGCACGCCCAAGCAAATCAATGTAACAGCCATAATGCTCAATTTTGGGTTCAATCCCAAAATTGCTTTCCATGTTAGCAAAAACTGAAGAGCCCTCGTCAACTAAACCAGAATGGCTACATCCATTCAGAACCCCCAAAATAGTGACTTCATTTGGTTTAACATTTTTAGTTAACATTTTATTAAATACACGTAAAGCATCCCTACCAAGTCCATGAATGGATAACCCTGTTATCAAACTCGTAAAGTTGTGGACATCAGGTACAGAAATCTCATCAAATACTCTTATTGAAAGGTCAATCCTGCCACACTTTGCATACATGTCAATCAGAGCAGTACTAATATTTGAACCAACAAAAATATTATTCTTATCTACATAAGCATGAATCCATTTGCCTTGATCCAAAGCCCCAAGATGAGCACAAGCAGAGAGAGCACAGACTAGAACAGCCTCATTAGGCTTGACCTTGCATTCACCATCACACAGCATTTCACGGAAGTACTTGAGGGCTTCAAGATATCTTCTACATCCAACAAAACCTGAAATTAAAACAGCCCAAGACACGTCATTACGCACCGGCATTTCTAGAAAGGCCTGACATGCTTTGGTCATCTCCCCATTCTTTGCATATCCGCAAACCAAACTAGTCCATGAGAACACATCTCTCTGTGACATTTCATCAAAAACTTTACAGGCGTCACCCATTTTCCCAAAAACAGCATACAAGTTGACCACAGAATTTCCCACGTACAAATCCGATATATACCCATTTTTCATAATCATCCCATGAACAATTTCACCATACACAATCGACATCTGGTGAGAACAAGAAGTGATCACAAAATTGAATGTATACTTATCAGGAAAAACCCGAAAAGGAGAGTGCTCAAAAGTGATCATTTGGTTAAAAAGATTGAACGGTTCTGTCGAATTTTGAAGTTTTGAGTATGCCCTGATCATCAGATTCCATAACAGAGTTGGTGGTGAAGGCAAAGGGTAATGGTTGAATAAGGCTCTAGCACCATCCAGATTGTTAATGTTGAGATAACAGTGAATCAGAGAGTCAACCAAAGCAGCCTTTCCTGAGAGTGAATTGGTAATTATTTTAGCATGAATTTGACTGAGTTGAGAGAGCGGTGGGCGTCTCTTTAGGAGACTAGAGAGTGATTTAGCGGTCACATAGTATTGCATTGGTTGGTTTGAATATATGGCGGGAAGTCGGTTGATGAAAAAGAACGGTTAAGTATTAGTAGTATTGGTTTTAGGAGTTTGGGATAATGCTATTCTTTGCCCATAAAAAGGATCAATCCTTACCATACAAATATGCACGCAACATTATGATTTGAATTTAAACACTAAACTTTGTATATATAGCTTGCATGTAAACCCCATAAATATATACACTAAAGTGTATAAAAGATTTATCCAAAAAAAAATTAAAGTTAGAAATCGAAACAAATTAAAAAATAGTCCGCTTCTTTGATTTTAGAGATTCCTTTGCTCGTACCTATCAATGACAAATGTGATAATTTTCAGTGGCTCTTTGTAGATGGACTCATTTTGTCATTTGGTGCTTATGCTCTTGGGTGATAGCTATGCTTCATGATCCATCAACCATTGATAAATATTGAAGCAAGGAACATTTATCATTGAAAAGTTTAACACTAAAAATGTCACAGGATGTATACACAATCCTATAAGGTACATTTATGAATTAGGGTTACTATCACTTTACCCCCTTAACGTTTGGTGTTGTTATCAATTTCCCCCTTAACGTTATTTTTTAGTCACTTTACCTCCAAGACTAACGGTCAAATTTAATGGAATTTGTTGATTAAAGTAAAAAGGCAAGTTTAGCCCTAAAAGTTATTATCATTTTGCCCCCATAAACTATTGCCTCATTATCAATTTACCCCATAGAGTTATTTTTTAGGCAATTTATCCCACCATTAAACTAACTTAACAAGTTAAAAAATTTTAGAGAAAGTACCCTCTTTGTATAATAAAACAATGAAAATTTTAAAGTGGCTTTTTTCATCTTTAGTATCAATAAAAAAAGTCAAACTATTAATCTCTTTCTTCTTGGCAATCTTTTTAATATTAAAACAAATAGAAAGATTGGAAGAGAGAGAGAGAGAGAGAGATTATTTTTTAAAAAATACAAATAAGAAAGAATTAATACTTTTATTATTTTAAAATTATTTTACTTTACTATTTACCACTAGATTTCAATTCTAATTCCAACAATCTTAAATTAATACGATAATAATTTCTATCTCCTTCTTTCTTATCTCTTTTTCTTTTCCTAGTATTAATAAGTGTGAAAAAAGAAATTTGAGAAAATCCTTTTATTTTTATATTTTTTGGATCTCTTAAAGTGAAAAAAAAAGAAAATCCTTTCTTTTCTGTCTCCTTCTTTCCTATCTCTTTTTCTTTTCCTAGTATTAATAAGTGTGAAGAAAGAAATTTGATCAAATCCTTTTTTTTTTATATTTTCGGATCTCTTCAAGTGAAAAAACGAAAAATAATCATTGCAACTTTTTTATTTTTAATTATATATATAAAAGGGTCAATATATTTAAAATTTTTTAACCATACCAATTAGATTAACGATAAAGTAAAATGCCTAGAAAATAATGTTAGGAATTAAAGTGATTATATCACTATAATTTAAAAGAATAAAGTAATAATAACAATATAGTAATGCTAGAATAAAAGGGTATTTTTGTCCAAAATTTCTTAATATGTTGAGTTGAATTACTTATGGGAGTAAAGTGACTAAAAGATAACGTTAGAGGGTAAACTGATAGTAATGATATTGTTGAAGGAGGTAAAGTGATAATAGCCCTTACGAATTATATAGGAATTGTAAAGTTCGCATTTAACACAAGAGGCAATTTACCCTTTCTTTTAACAATCATACTTCATTCTGTTCGAAAGGAATATACTGCTCCTAGCATTGACACAAGCTTCATCTTCGGCATTGTCACAAATGCGCAGTGGCACATATATGCAGTAATATTCAGCATTTGTTCTTTAGAATCAGTCCAAGTATTATGTCCTAACTCGTAAGTAGTTGAAATTACTTATGATATAAATTTTTTGCCAACTTTTTTTTTGAAGTTTTTTGTTCTTATGTCATGAGCCCTTTTAAAATTTCTGAATTACATATATTCTTTTTTGAGTTCAAGAGAAACTCTAAAGTCTAGACCTTATAATAGAGGGATACGAGGTGTTAAAAGTTGTCCCTACTAGTTGAGTTGGATTTTGGAACTGATTTAGTTTTTGAATTCTAGCTGTTATTGTAATTATGGATAATTCAAGTATCTAAATTCCTGCATTAGAGCAAAGAACTATATAAGTTTAGTTAAGAACTATCTATGAACTATATAAGTTGGTTAGTTAAACATGTGCAAGCTCTACATCAACTAAAATCTTGGAATGTCCGTTGATTTCCTCGCATCCAAATGACGCCTAAAGTGAATTAGGGACTGTTTGGTAAAGGAGTTTTTTGCCAAGTTTTTTAATAATAACCTCAAAAAACTTCTCAAAAATTTTAAAATACACACTTTAAAACACACCAAAAAAAAACACATCCGATCCTCAGCCCTTTTACCAGGTCTCACCTTAAAAATTTGACACCTATAACAACTCAAAAAACTTCTCAAAAATTTTAAAATGCACACTTTAAAATACCTAAAAACACAAAAAAAAAAAAAATCCTATCCTTAGCCCTCTTAAGGAGCCCCTTACCAGCTCTCACCCTAAAAATTTGACACCTATAACAACTCACATGATTTCATTAACCCAACACATGATTTCAGTAATCCAATCCTATCTCGAAACCTATTTGGCTATTCCCTCCTGTTGAATAGTACAAAACCCAGTCAATGCATCAATGATTCAATCGATGAGAAATCACATCAAACAAAAATCTATAAATCCTAAATCCATAATCATAATTGTTCTCAACCCTTTCAGCATTTGATGTTTTCCGTCACTTTTTACAACCTTTTTTTTTAATTTGTATATTTGTGATTGATTTGGAATTCCAAAAAACCACTCTCAAGCAACTGTGATTTACTTGACTTGGAATTCTAAAAAATTCCTACTCCTATTATGAAAAAAAATTTGTTTGTAGATGTCAAATTTGTTATAAATGTTAAATTTTTAGGATGAGACCCGATAAGGAGACTCCTTAAGGAGACTGAGGATCAGATACGAAAAACTACCTTCATTCCTTTCTTCTTCTTTCTCCTCCATCTCAACCTACCACCATCTCCGCCGTCGGCCAACACTTCCCCCGGCAATGGCACCGATTCCTTTTTCTTTTCTTTTCTTTTCCTTTCCCCTTTCCTTCTCCTCCTCCCCTCTTCTTAAGGATGGCAACGCAGGCCCCCGCCCCGCGGGGGGCTATTGGGGCAGGGGCCGGGGGGGAATTTTTCCCCCGTTTAAAAAAAATAAAGATATATATATATGTACATAATTATATATACAATATTTAATTTAATTAGTTATAAATTTATAATAATGATATTATTAGTTATATGTATCATTTAATGTATATTAATATATGTAATATAATTGATATTATCAATTATATTACTAATTATACATGTCTATTAATAAAAATTATTAATTATTTATACTAAATTTATTAATACATTTATATTAAATTCCTAACTACACTTAATACAATAACATTTTTTTCTAAAAAAATCACAATAATAATTTAGTGATTGTATTTGTATCAAAAGTGAAAAATTGATTATTTTACTTATATTTGTTTTATCATATTAGATTGTATTCAAATAACTTTTATTTAATTATTTTTATGAGTTTCAATTGTGAAATTACAATGAATAATAATTTGGTGATGTGTTGATATTTTAGTACTTGATTATTTGCTAAAATTTAATTATAATGAAATTATATAACAAATTTTTTTTAACCCCACGGGTAGGGATGTAATCGAACCGAGCTGCTCGCGAGCAGCTCGGTCAAGAGCTTGACTCGAACTCGGTCAAACCAAGTTCGAGTCGAGTTTCGAGCAGCTCGATAAGGTTATCGAGTCGAGTTCGAGCATCCAGAAGTGATGCTCGAAGGCTCGACGAGCCTTATCGAGTATTTTAATTTTAAATATTTAATATTTTAATTTTAATTATTTAATATATTATTATTATAAAATTACCCTTATACCCAAAAGAATTGTCAAATTTACGAAATGTTTCAAGTCATATAAAAATTTTAAAAGGGTAATAATGTCTTTTCGCTCAAAAATTATCAAAAAAATGAAATTTAATAACTCGAACTCGAGCGAACTCGATAAGACTCGAATGGACTCGAGCCCATACGAGTCGAGCTCGAGTATTGCGAGCAAGCTTCGAGCTCGAACTCGAGCTTCAATAATACTACTCGCTCGAGCACCCCTATCTGTATGTCGAGTCAAGCTCGAGTATCGCGATACTCGAGCTCGACTCGACTCGATTACAGCCCTACCCATGGGTGCCCCCGTGGGGGAAGTGGGGCAGGGGATGGGGTGGGGGCGGGGGGAATTAATAGGCAATGGGGCTGGCGGTGGGGGAGGGGTCCCCTGCCCCAACCCCACCCCATTGCCACCCTTACCTTTTCTCTTCTCCTCCTCCTTACTCTTCCCCTCTCCCCCGCTATCGCCTCCCCCCTCTCTTGCTCGGCCACCCTTCCCTTCTCTCTCCCCCAGCACGACTAGATCTAGTTGCGTTTGGGGAGGGGGAGGGCGGCCGGGAGGGAGGAGGGAGGGAGAAGAAAAAAAAATTTCTCCTGCCGGTGCCGGCGATGGCGATTGGTTAGTGGGGAGGGAGGGAGAAGAAAATTATGGTGGGATGGGGGAGAGAAAGAAGGAGAAGGGAAGGAACGAGAGAGAGAGAGAAAACAAAAAAGTTTCTGTCGCCGATTGTCGACGAAAGTGTCAGTGACGGCAGTCGATCAGTGGGGAGGGGGAGAAGAAGATTGCATTGGGGTGGGAGAGAAGAAGAGGAAAGGAAAGAAAGAGGAAAAGAAAAAAAAAAGAGAGAGAGAAAAAGAAAGTTTTTTTTTTCGTAAAGAAAAACTTTTACACACTTCAAAAAGGTTTTATACAAATTCTACAGTAAATTACAATAAAGTTTTGGACAAATACTCAAAAAACTCGTACCAAACAAGGCCTTAATTGCACC